AAAGCATTTTCAAGAACAAGGTCAATAACTCATATAAAATATTTTTCGATTTTCAATAGGGTACATCCATGGGTTATAATAAACAATTTCACAAAATTTCGTCAAAATCTGGCAAAAATTTGTGTCTTCTAGAATCTTGACAAGCAAAAAATTGAACCTTTTTTTCAAAAACAATTGATAACAAATGTACTTACTAAAACATGAAACGACAAGGAGACAACCAGAAACAACCAATGAAAACGTAAAAGGATCAGGAACCTAGCAAGAAAACGACCTGAAACGACCTCGAACTATTTTGTGATAAATTCTAAGGAAGCTAATAAGGCCAAAGAAATAATTAATTTGTTTTCGAAATGACTATTTTTTTTTTTTGTCTACTTCTGGTCACTCTCCCCAGCCAAAACTGCACATACCACAGGTTATCTACCACCATTATCTCTTATATTTAGCGTGTCGCTATTGCTTAAATGTAAAATGACGCATTTTCACCCAACTGGAAATGACGTAGGACGTTAAAAATGCATAACATCTTTCAAATTACTGCTCTTTTTCTGAATTCATTTTGATCGTAATTTTTGTTTTGTTCATTACTTTGTACTAATGGCTAAAAGATAGCACTTTAAAAAAAATCAGATTTTGATTTTTGTCACTGACTTTTTTAGCTTTTTTTTTTTTGCGTTTTTTTCAACTTCTACAATTTTATTTCGTTCGATCTGAAAACTTACAAGTAGGTAGGCATTTTGATTGCGAACAAAAATCTATTTTGAAAATTACGATATCACTTCCAGTTTTGACGTCATTCGCCTCTAAACTTGAAATTTCAACTTCCTGAATTTTGAAGATATATTTTGCAATTAGTTAGAATTGTTCCCATAAAGATTTTGGAATGAAAAAAATGACCCGGAAGTATAGGGTCAGACGCCATCTTGATATGAAAATGTGGCCTCAGGGTAAAATTGGATGTGCGTAATTCTGATGTTTATGTAAACTGCAATCGATTGCGAAAAAAAAGATAGCTTGCGATGCAAGGTAACATACGCCCACTGGCAGCTGTCAGAAATAATAAAACAGTCTTTAGTGACTAAAGTAGTAATTTTCTCATATTGAAGAAATTTTATTAGTTTGAATTCAATTACATATATATATATACCAGTAATTTATACTGAATAATTCCACAAAATTTTTTAAAATCAATATCAATAACCCAAATACAACAAACAATTAAATCACACAGCTCTAATCAAGGGCAAAAATAACTTTTGACAAAGTCAAGGGCAATAACTCAAAAAATGTTCATCAAAAATATCTCTTGTTAGAACTTGTCCGAGATCTTATCAATTCCAATGATCACACCAAGTTTCATCAAAATCAAAAACTGTAGCTTCTATTGTGCTCACAAACAAATTTTAACGCGTTTTTCGTAAGTTAATGGCAATAACTCAAAAAGATTTCATCGAAAATGCATCAAGTTAGAACTTGTCCGAGATCTTATCAATTCCAATGATCACACCAAGTTTCATAAGAATTGGTTGAAAACTGTAGCGTCAATCCTGCTCACAAACTATTTTTAACAAATTTCAACACGTTTTAACAAAGTCAAGGGCAATAACTAAAAAAGTGTTCATCAAAAATGCGTCAAGTTAGAACTTGTCCCAGATCTTATCAATTCCAATGATCACACCAAGTTTCATCAGAATCGGTTGAAAACTGTAGCTTCAATCCTGCTCACGAACTATTTTAACAAATTTCGAAGCGTTTTAACAAGGTCAAGGGCAAATTCGAACTTGACCGAGATCTTATCAATCTAAAGCATCACACCAAGTTTTATCAAAATCAGATGAAAACTGTAGTCTCTATAGTGCTCACAAGAAATGTTGACGGACGGACTGACAGACTGACGGACAGGGGCGACATATTCATGTGGGTGTATAAAAACTGTTGGAGCCGATTTTTGAATTTCACTTTTGCATTTCCGGTTTTATGTTTTCAGTAATTGTCAAAACTGTTAAATCCCATATCTAGTGACCTTGACCTTTGGTGACTTTGTGGCCTGCACAAAAGTTGTTGCCTCTTACGAGATATATCCGATGATATCTTCACTTTTGTTGTACATCGTTAACTTCCGGTTCTACAGCTTTTTGAAAATCACAACTTTTAACTTGAAGAGCTCTGTCACGTGACCTAATTAACATACCACAAAATTTCATATATATTCTTAAAATGCATGATCTCTCCTTTTTGGTGATATATCACACTTGATATTTTGAAAAATTGAAAACTTCTATAGTAACTTCACGGTGTCTTTAATCCACCCACTGTCACCGTTGCCTTAAAAAACGTATAACTATGAATATCCCACGATTTATTGATTGTAAACACTTGAAATTGTTAACATTATTTAACAATGTACACATCATCACAGACAAATTAAAATTTTTGAAGTGGGCGTGGCACATCTGGTGGGCATTTACCTTTACCTGAAATATTTGCAATTGTCATAACTCGCAAAGTTCGCAATTGTCACCCTCGAAATTTTACATGAAAATAATTCACTACTTAAGACAATTTGTGATAAGATTACAGTTATTTGCACTCCTTAAACAAGTGGTTGCCTAGCAAGATACGCCCACTTTCCTGATACATTTTCAGTATATCAAGGGCAGTCACCTATCTGTGTCAAATCATACCAAAAATCTAATTTGTGCAAGATATTGTTGATTTAAACAAAGACACATTATTTTAAAATTTTTTGACATAAACTGTCACCTCTATCGCCAACAAATTTTGATGAGTTTTTACTAAGTCAAGGGCAATAACAAAATTTGGTTGATTGAAAAATTGTCAAATTCAATCTTGGCTAAGATCTTAGCATTATTAATGATCATACCTAATTTCATTTAAATTGGATGAAAACTGTAGTCTCTATTGTGTTCACAAACAAATTTTGACGCGTTTTTCATAAGTCAAGGGCAATAACTAAAAAACCGTTCATCGAAAGATCGTCTAATTCGAAGTTGTCCAAGATCTCATCATTATAAATATTCACACCAAATTTTATTTAAATTGGATGAAAACTGTATTCTCTGTTGTGTTCACAACCAAATTTTGACGCGTTTTTTCATAAGTCAAGGGCAATAACTCAAAAACCGTTCATTGAAAGATCGTCAAATTTGAACTTGTCCAAGATCTCATCATTGTAAATATTCACACCAAATTTCATTTAAATTGAATGAAAATTGTAGTCTCTATTGTGTTCACAACCAAATGGGCAATAACTCAAAAACCGTTCATCGGAAGATCGTCAAATTCAAATTGTCCAAGATCTCATGAATATAAATGATCATACCAAATTTCATTCAAATCAGATAAAAACTGTTGTCTCTATTGCGTTCACAAGCCAATTGTGGACAGACGGACCGATGGACAGGGGCGACGACAATATATGACCACATTATAATGGCCAAAGACACTGAGATTTTAAGGACAAGCTACAGAATGACAGACATATTAAAAACAAGGAAAATCATTGTGGCAGGACGCAGGAATAGGACCTTGGGAAATTTATTAAGGGAAAACAAATTAAAACAGTGTGTAGAAAATGTGAATATTTCTAAAAATGTGGGATGTGTACCTTGTAATAAACCCTGGTGCAAGAAAAGATGAACACATCTATCACAATCACCAATAGACACCCAAAATCATTTCATATCAAAGACTCTTTAAATTGTCAGAGTAATTTTGTTATATATTGTCGTACTTGTGAATTATGTAAATTTCAATTTGTTGGCCAGACAATAACCGCCTTCAATATTAGACATAACAAAAATAGAAGCAACATTAAATTGAAAAAGGTTCATAAAGCTCCTCATATTGCCCCCCATTTTAACCAACCTGGTCATGATTATAAATGCACACTTTTTGAGAAAATTCCAAATGAAAGCAAAAGCAAATTAGACAGTGCAGAAACTCTGTGGATTCATAGACTTGACTCTGTATGGCCGTATGAATTGAATGAACTCAACCCAGGAGGTTTCAAAATTGCTAAATATTAGTGTTTTGTAGTTTGTTTCTTCCCTGATGAAGTCAAAATTTTTGGACGAAACGTTGGGTATTAAAGGATGGTATTTGATGTCAAGTTTTATTATTTATTACACATTATAATGTAGGCGTATAAAAAAGGGAATAGGTTTAACAATTTTAAAAACTTTCATATTTGATCTTTAACATAAATGACCTTGACCTTTGCATGCTCAAAGCTCATTGATCTAGGATGCCTATTTTTACTTTGATCTTTGATGTCCGATGTAAACTTCCGGTTTAACACACGTCCGAAAACAGCAATTTTCGAAACTTCAAAGGCTCATATTACTTTTATTTGACCTTTTGACCAGAACAAAAGTTATTATCCTTGACCAGATCTATTCAAATATATCTTCATTCACAGCAAGATTCATTAAAATCTGTCAAGAATTGTGCCTTCTAGAGTGTTTACAAGCTAAAAATTTAACACAATTGCAAGAACAAAGGCAATAATTCATACTAAATATTTTTTTATTTTTCTGATTTCCACACCAAAATCTGTCAAGAATTGCACCTTCTAGCATGTTTATAAAGTAAAATTGAATGAACAAGGGCAATAACTCATACTAATTATTTTTCTGATTTTCAACAGGGTTCATCCTGGGGTGATTACAAACAATAATACCAAATTTTGTCACGTTTCGACGCGTTATAACTAAGTCAGGGGCAATAACTCAAAACTTGACCAAGAACTCATAAACATAAATGATCACACCAAATTGCATTAAAATCAGATAAAAACTGTAGCCTCTATTTTGTTCACAAGCCAATTGTGGACAGAGGGACGGACGTACGGACAGGGCCGATGACAATATAAAAATGGACCAGTAAAAAACTTTGTGAAATGGTTTGTGTGTCTTTTATTTTATTGAACACCCCATTTCATGTGAGCCTATAAAAAAGGAGGACAGGTGTCTTACCTAGCACGGTCATCAGCATTAGGTCTCAGCATTTTCACAGCTACCAACATGGAGCGTGAGAGGGTTCTGTTGGTTAAATAATCATCATTCAGGAGCTCATTGATCCTGACAGCTTCACAAAGATGGACCTGGAATCATATTGTATTATAATGATCTAGACTTCTTTAATTCAAAATAAGATAGATTGCCAGGCAAGGTAACATACGCCCACTGGCAGCTTTGATTTTGAATAAAAATATTTAGCAATACAGTAACAATCACCAGTATGAAATATTCAACCTTCAGTCATAAACTCTCTACGGCGATACTGAATAATATTGAGTATGAGTTATTGCCCTTGTTCTTGAAAACTCTAGAAGGCAAATATTCAATCTTCAGTGCGGGACTGAATAATAAAACCAAGTTTTGTCAAAATCCAGCAAGAATCATGCCTAAAAATTGAACGTATTTTCAAGAACAAGGGCAATAACTCATACTAAATATTTTTCGATTCTTCTGATTTTCAATAGGGTTCATCCTTGGGTGATAGTTAACAATTTCAGCAAGTTTCGTAAAAATCCGTAAAGAATTGTGACTTGCATAGAGTCTACGAGCTAAAAATCGAACGCGTTTTGAAGAACAAGGGCAATAACTCATATTAAATATTTTTCGATAGGGTTCATCCTTGGGTGATAATAAACAATTTCAGCAAGTTTTGTCAAAATCCGTAAAGAATTGTGACTAGTAGAGTGTTTACAAGCTAAAAATTTGTTCAATTATCAGAGGATTGTAAGTTGTATTTATATTCTGCTTTGTGCTATGGATTTAGTTACAATAAAGCTTGAACAGCAGGTAAAGTAATAATTTGGATAGATAACTCATAGAAAAGTGTTACAAAGAACAATAATACAAATATTCTGTTCCTCACCTCTCCAAATTGACCCTCACCAAGAACTTCCAGGAATCTTAAATTTTCTCTTGGAAATTCCATCACTGAATAATCAATGGTCAAAAGCAGGTCAGCATTGGGAACTGCATAAACATTGTTACCACTGACACCTTGTAAACTGGACACATTCTGTACATTGACCACATCAGCTGCAGCATAAAGAGCATCATAATTTGGTGGAGGCCCATTCATCATAACAGGTTCCAAGTTTGGTAAGGATTGTGGTGGTCTTGGTGGAAGATTGACAATGAGTGCTGACTTGGTAATATCAGGAACTGCATAATCTTGAGATTCTGCAAGAATACAAACCAATAAAAACTATTAGTTTTCTTTCAGGTATTCCTACATAACAACAGTAAAACCAATATTCACTGTTAAGCATACTTTACTGGCATACAGGAAAATGTACTTAAAAATGTAACTAGGAAACAATGGGATGTGCCGAAAACAACAAAATCACAGCTTGGAAAGTTTTAAAAAGGCCACATGCTTCATTTGTGATTTCAAATCAAATGGCTTTCTCACCATTCTGGAAAAAAAGCAGATTAATCAGTCGATTTAAAGGAATGTAATGAAGTTTTCTAGAAAATTTATGTGTATCTGGGACACTGGTAGCTTTTGTGATAGTGACGTCATAAAGGGAAACTGCAAGAGGTCTGACTGAAAATTGGAATCCTGCAAATCGATGCTATCATTGTCCCCGATACACATAAATTTTCTAGAAAACTTCATTGCAATCCCTTTAAACTACATTTGAACCACATGATGTATATAAACTTGTTTTGACTTTCTGCACAAATGAAGAAAGTGTCCAATTATAAGTATAATCTAAATTAAAGAAAACCAAAACATTGGGGACAGAGATAACCTTGACCTACAACATTACAACGCAGGGGCCATTTTACAATTATTATTTGGTAAGAAAGTAAAAAGAATACTAAATACTAAGGTTTTACTGCTTTAAATAAGCTATTTTTAGCTAGAACATTTCATGCTGTAGTATAGAAACATGCAGAATTCGAACGATTTTTTAATATGATAAAACTTTACCAATCTTTGACTAAGTTCACTGCCAGAACATACATGCTGTCTAAAAGTAAATCATGGTCAATTTCAGAGACAATGCCTTGATACAGGTGTAAGGCAGGATATTAGATACGGAAAAATTAAAGGATCACACGATGTAATACAGGTGTTTTGACATTTAGAACCCTCCCTTTCACAGCATAAACTAAAAACATTCAGATCAGTTCTTTACTGAAGTTTCTCTCTGAGTATTTAATATTTTTTGTGGCCAGTCTGCTTTCTTGAGTGGTATGATACCAGCAAATAGCAAAGAAGCTGAGATCGTTTTTCAGCTACTGTAACGAGTGAAGACATCGATGAGCTAATAAAATCCCAAGAGAACGCTAACACCAGGAAGTCGACGAAATGGGCCTTGAATATTTTCAACAATTGGCGAAAAAACAGACAATCAACGTCAACATTACCGCTACCAGATCTTCGTGAAATGAAACCAGGTGTCATGGACTATTGGTTACAAAGATTTGTATTAGAGGCACGAAAGAAATGTGGCGGAGAATATTCGCCCAACTCCGTGTACTACATCATGTGTGAATTGTTGAGGCACTTAAAAGATGAAAATATACCTATCAATTTTCTGGACAAAGATAACTATCATTTTATGGGTACCCGAAAAGCTTTGGATGCAAAAATGAAAGAAATGTTAAAGAGAGGATTAGGATGTAAACCGAAACGAGCCGACCCTGTGCCGTTATCGAAAGGGCTTTAATTTTGAAACACCCTGTATTTTTCTAGAAGGGCTTTGCACAATTGTAAGCATACAAGTCTGGCAAATTTCTTGCATTTCATGCATTAAACCAAGCAAAATCAATAACCAAATGATAGATATGGAAAGTTAAGTGTACAAATGCATAACTCTAACAAGACCTAAAAATACCAAGAAAATTAGTCAAAAGCAAAAACAATCATTATTTCAATTTACAAATTATTGTCCTTAAGAGTTAGAATAGAAAGATGGTTAGTGTATATCTTGCCAGCACAAAAATCATTTCAATGTTATTTCAAAATATCTCAATAACAATACCCAAATTTAGTATGGTTTAACATGAAATGATGTCCTGCGATGACATGTTCAGTATAGACCCGACGACATGCACTGAAAAGAAAAGGTCAAGGTCACGCCTGGCCAATTGAGAATTATTGAAGGGGAAAGGTACAAACCACCCGAATCAGAAATTGGTGGGACATCTGGCAGTGATCGAGTCTGGATGGTATCTTTTGGTTCCAAATAAGCTGGGCTCTTGCACGACTTGTCTCTGCCATTACAGGTTGGCTCCTTTTCAGAGTCCATGTCCTCGGTTGCTATACTGTTGTACATATTACCATTTGAAATTTTACCGTTTGTGCTGCCACAGAGGTCATTCATATTAATGGTAACATGACGGTCGACAACTGGTTTCAGTGCTCGATGGTTGTTGTTGTTCTTGTTACGTTTGTGACGATAAAAGAAGATGCAGATGACAATAACTAGAATGAGGATTAAGGCTGCCAAAGCTCCTATGATGACTCCTATATATCCATCATCTAATTCTTTTTCTTCCTTATCCTTCTGTACATCATCTGTTTCTTGAACTGAAAAAAAAAACCAGAAATATACTTGATATTGTCTTTTACATCTTTATAGAAAAGGGAAGAAGTGACACATTCACAAGTTCAAGGATTTTGTTTAATCCAATCGTACCATAGTCTCATGGTAATTTTTTTAGCTAAACTGATCATTAATAGTGTTTACAGCTCACAATCAATATTTAAACCTGTATATCAATGTGAGTCCAGAAATATCCACGTTTGGAAGTTAACATAGCTTGCTAGGCAAGATAATATATGCCCACTGGCGTGCTTTGATTTCAAATAAAACTAGAGCCACTCGTGGCACAGAGTGGGACTTTGCAAATTTAGCAAATTGCAGAAGACCCCGAAAAAATCAACCTTCGCCGATAATTAGATCAAGCGCAAGAACAGTCTAAAGTTGAGAAATTTTCATTTTCTAGAAGATTCTAATACCGGAAGTAGACGTCAGACCTCACAAATGAAAGTATCAGCAGATAGCCAAGGTCAATGACCTTTGATCTTGTAAAAGAGAAGGTCTAAAAAGGTCAAGATCAAGAGATATACGTCATCAAAATTTCTAATTGCACACGACTATAAAACCGGAAGTTGACATAGGACAGCAAATATGAAAGTACAAATAGATAGCCAATGCCAATGACGTTTGATCCTACAAAGGTCAAGGTCAACAAAGGTCAAGGTCAAAAATTGAAATTTTTAATTTCCAAAACCTGTTCCTTTTTTTGAACTAAGAAGCGGAAACAACCGAAATTCTAAGACAAAGTGGCTCACAATATGAGG